ATTCCTCACTGCGGATACATACATACACACACGAAACAACGACTCGGTTTTTAGTGTAACGGACCTGAGTCCGCGATAACGAGCTTAATAAGCAATTCACGATTTCGATATCGCTCGCGGGCAGAGGGTGCAGCGTCCCGATAAAATCGGCTCCGCGACCGATAATCATCGCGAGAAAACAGCGTTAATCCACGCAATCAATCCAGCGTGTAGAGGGGGGAGGAGGAGGATGCATGGAAAATCTGGAAAACGCGCATTCCCGGTCGCAATCGAGGCCACGGTGACCGCCGACCGGTACCCTATCCACCGAAACAACCAGATTTGTCCAATAAAAGCTTCGTTTTCCCTTCGCTATCACTCACCCCCCCTCCTGCCACCCTTCCGCAAAACCATCTCGTCGAGCGGCCTAATAAATCCGACAGATAGGATTGGCGTGCGCTATCAATTAAAAATGATGAAACCGAACGTGCGTCCGCCTCTTCGTTTCGCAACCGTTTCCCTTCCTACATACATCTCTCGTTCTCTTCCACTCTCCACTCTCCTTGTTCCTTTCTCTCTCTGTCTCTTGTTTGCTTTTCGAGAGAAACACGGCTGATTCCTTCGCCTTGTCTGCTCGCGTAATAAGCTTAAGCGATTAGGTGTACCTTAGGGGCGCACCAGTGTTCCCTTCTTCGACCTTCCAGCTCCTCGATTTCCAGTCTACAGGAGAGGAACAGACTGCGAAGTGGACGAGGACATGGCGAGAAAGGGAGGGGAAACAGAGAACCAACCCCCTGGAGAAAATTGTAAAAAGTAGAACGTGAACGGAGGCGGTTCGCGACGCCAGCACCGGCAGGTTTTAAACGCAATTTAAATTTTTAATTGCAACTCCACTGGAGGGGAACACCTCCAACTTTATCCTTCGTTCTCTTCACGCGATCCCGTTCTATCCCCTTGGACACTACCGTGTCGCTTTCCTTCGCAGTTTCCTTTCTTTATTAATCGCGCGGATCCACGGCGATTGGGCTTGTTTGGGTATTCGTGAATGAGAGAAAGATTGCTCCTTGGGAGAGTAATTTATTTCTTGAGAATAACGGTAGAGGACGATTGAATAGGACTGACGCGTCTGTTCATTATATTCTGTTTCTACTTACTGTCAACACGAATACTGATCTGCTTATATAAAATGTCTAAACTAACAAATTATCGTTTTTCAAGATTTTTCGAAATATTTGGAACCACGTATGCTTTTCACTTCTTATTGTTAGTTAAAGACAGAATACCCTGCGTGCTTTTCAGGGCTCTAGACACAGCTTAATTTGTTTGTCCTGACTGGTTTTGAAATAATTCTACTATTTTACATTGTTCTATATAATATCTATTAATTTAAATAGTCCTAATTTATCACTTAGATAATCTAGACAATCTAGCATAACATACCATAAAACAAAATCTGTAGTAAATTAAAAGTCACCCTAAATTCCGTCAAAAGCACCACCATAATTTCAGTAATGGAAAAATAGTAAATCTGTAATCCGTCATTTTTATGAATTTGGTAATTCTACTGTTAAGCTAATGGGTGCAGAATATATTCGTGTTAAATGAATTTTGAAAATTAATTACATTTCTTGAAAAGGAAGCATCATACGAGAAAATTTTATCTTATAATATCGATTTATTTCTACATGTAGAATTACATCCTTTTGGATTGTAACACCAGTTTGGAACCACCTTGTACATAGGCCACAACATTAACATTAAATATCTCATAAACTTCCTTATTAAAATGTCAGCGTTACACCTGAGAACCTCTCCATGTGAGTCTTAGAGTTTTCTAGACCCGGTCGTTTATTCAATTTTACAACCTCCTGCGCGCCACGGATGGCACGTTAACGCGTCGATAACATCGCCCCCGACGCAAGGGACATTCGGGAACGCGTGCCCGTTATACTAGCCGGGGGTAAATCGAACCGGGCGACGTGAAAACCGAGTGAAAAATCAATTCCGCGCTTCGACAGGCAAAAAAGGCAGGTGCTCGTAAAGGCCTGGCCGAGCGGGCAGGTTATTATCCGGGGGCCACGGTGGTACTACGACGCCGTTCACGTATACATACACGTACAACACATATACAGGGTGTCCCAAAATAGCTTGGACTCCCGGAAATGAGGGGTTCCTGGGATGATTTGAAACAGCTTTTTCCTTAGCAAAAATGTTATCCGAGGCTTTGTTAACGAGATATTAACAAAACACTCCCGACCAATCAGAGCAAGAGTCTACCGGCCGAGCTACCGCGGTAACGTTGGCTACCAATCGCTGCGCGTACCCAACGTTAGCGCGGAAGCTCGGCCGGCAGACTCACGCTCTGATTGGTCGGGGTTTTTCGTTAATATCTCGTTAACAAAAGCTCGGATAACGTTTTTGTTAAGGAAAAAGTTGTTTCAAATCATCCCAGGAACCTCTCACTTCCGGGAGTCCAAGCTATTTTGGGACACCCTGTATACACGTACAAACACACATACATATATACACGTCCACGGCGCGCCGTTGGCCCCGGGAGTCTAATCGATGCGTCGTCGCATGCGACTGCGTGCTTTTATCGCTGTCACGCACATAATTAATTTAATTTAGTTTAATACGTCGGGCCAGCGTCAGGCGGCGATTGCTGTTCCGATTGTTTGCACGGAAACGCTACCATTAACCCGGCCCGTTCGTAGCGAGCTCGCGAGCGCGCACGGCACTCACGTATCCGTTCAATTTTCGAGAGAGATATACAAAGGTAGAGAGAGAGAGAGAGAGAACGAGGGGAATAATAAATCGTCTGTTTTACGACCGATCGTGTCGTTGAAAATCTCGCGAATTACCGTTAATCGTCGAGAACGTTAATTTATCATTGATCGAAGAACTTCTTGATTTCGTACTCACGTGTGTATTTCTGTTCCCCTGTTCGTTCGTTTTTTGTGTTCTTTTAATGGTGTTTCAACGACGCGCATAAAAGCCAATAGAGTGTTACTCGATTTGTGAAAATTACTGATCCTTCCCCCCTCGCTCCCGCTCGACGTCAAAGAGCGAACGTGAATTATGAGTGAAGTTTAAAGAGTGCTGGTTCGCCAGCGAATCAACGGGCTTTTTAATTTAAAAAAAAAAAAAGAAGAAAAATCAGCTTGTCGGAGATTGTTGAAGCGCACGAACAGTCGCGCGGTTTGATACAAGCTACCGATTCCTTTTTTTCCTCTATGCCTGTTCCTTTTTTTCTGTCGTTTCATTTCCTCGTTCCTTTTCGTTACGTTGTTGCCGGTAATGCGATCGCGGTGTGTCGTGAGGGTTAACGAGTTAATTCCTTGTTGGGTCGCGTGACTCCGTCGCACGGTGGGGGGTGGGCAGGTTATTTGAAAAATGTATGAATTTTCGTTTGTCCCCGGCGAGAACTCACGTTGAAACGGTAAAACTCTCTGCCTCCGATGTCGATTAATCGCACGTTGTATAATTATTCTATGTCGCTTTTTAATCACTCGACGGATCTTTGATTACGGTCAAAATATATCGGACTAGTGGGAAGTAAACACACCCGATCGACGTTTGTGCCTCTAGAAACATGTAATGTTATACATTATACAGTCGCGTACTTTAATCGAAACGGCGTGTATTACAATTGCCAGCGACGAACGTTTCGCACGAGACGTCGCGTAACCGAATTTCAGAATACAGTGATTCACAAATTTGTTAATGAAGGGCTGTCACTTCTACTTGACCAAACTATTCACCAAAATGCGAATTTTAATTCAAAGTTAAAAAAACTTGATCGCAAAAGCATAATACAGGTAACAAGAAAGAGAATATATTAATAGAAATTGCAAAGAAGTTGTGACGCTTAATTGTTATTTCCGAAATCTGTGAACGAATTTGTGAGTCACTATATATCCACACAGCTTAGATAATTTGTTATTATTAGAGAGTGTGGTATTATGCTCTTATATTAGGTGTACCAATAAGTAATCCAATATTTCTGAAATTGTGAGGGGACATATTTTGGATTAAGACTATGTTCTCGATTGGCGTGCAGGAAACTTACTGTAAATATAAATTAAACGGTGCAGAGCCTTCACTTCTATAGAGATGATTACCGATTTCGTAAAGAGTGAACTACTTTTATTGGTACACTTAATAGACTATTTCCTCTTGCAATGTATAATAAAATAGAGAATTTCGAAATTAATGGTACTTTTAACAAAGAACATTAACTTCTGCCTGTCTCCTATTTTCGAAGTAATGCTCTATAAACATTCGAATTTCTGTACCAAAGTCCAGTTACTATCAATTAAATTACAATTTTAAGGTTAGAGCATGTGTGCATATGTCCATAAAACCAGTCACGTGACACTGACGCGTCTAAAGGTGTGTCTCCACTGGTGTTCACGAACAGTACACGAATTGTTCTTGTTAGGGATCGCCTATTCTATTACATACATATACACAGCGTAGCATAACTATAAAACTACACTAAAATTTTCAATTCTTATGTAGATATGGTTAAAATAAAAACGAACCAAATATGCCATGTCTAAACTCGTATCGAGAAACAATGTTCCTCCATAAAAGGATAGATTCCATTCCTTAAAAAGAAAGCTGGTTCGTTTTTATTTTAACCACAATGCATAAGGTGGTTTTGTAGTTATGCCACGAAGCGTATAGTAGTGGTTTGAAAAACTTTCATTAACTTCTTACAAGCATCAATTCTGACCATTCTTTATAAACTGTTTCCCGGTGAATACGCACCTTAATATAAAAAGCTTCCGTCTCCACAAGCCGTGATTTTTGACACGCTTCAAAAACGACTGAACAAATTCCACGACCCTTGTCACGGTCAAGAAGTATAACACTTATGTGTCCATGTCTCGAGTAACCAATTACGTCCCAGCGATCGCGATTTCGCCGATAGGGGCGACAAAACGGAAACGAAATTGGGCAAATGGGCGGATTATATATAAGTCCGCTGATTCGTAGACCAGTCGCGAACAACTCACCTGGACCCGCACTTCCGGAAGATTGACTTTCACGGCGAGCTCCTCCCTGGAGTACACGTCGGGATAATGAGACTTCTCGAAGGCCCTCTCGAGCTCGTGCAGCTGGTAGGTGGTGAAGGTCGTTCTGTTACGACGATGCTTCTTCTTCCCGCCGTTCCCGTTTAAATCGTCCCCGCAGCCTGTGCCGAGCTCCTCGTCGCTGCCGCCGCCGGTGGAGTTGCAGCTGTTCTCACCTGGAAACCCAGAACAGGAGCGGTCAGGTCTCTCTGTCTTTCTCTCTCTCTCATTCAATCTCTAACTCTGTCTCTCTCCTCGGAAACGGTCGTTACGGTTAATAGGTACGGTAATGGTGATCGATTTATCCAGTCCCAGCCATTTACCTCTATTATGCCGCGTATAATGGTAGCTATTACAAGTGTTGCACAGCGCGCCTCGACGGGGCGTGCGCGCGAGCGCGAACGCTTGAGCAGGATTTCGCGGCCGCGTGAATTTTCCCTCCCGTGACTTCCGGCAACGTTGTAACAGGAAGAAGGCACACGAGCACACGTTGCCGAACAACGTTGCTTGGAACTCGTGTCGGGAGTTAATGCAAAATTAAATTAGAGTAAGGATATTATCATACTGCGGGGTATTGATTTCTTGATTGCTGCGAAGATAGTAAATATTATCGCCTGTGAACATTCGTTTTATCGTTATAACGAAGTTTTTCGAGTGATTGAGTTTTTCGAGAAATTTTTTTTTTTGTAATACAACAAAATCTTGTAAGTGATTTCGTTGAATTTGGGATTTATCTTTCTTTGGTGCATAATAGTTGATATGTTCGGAAATTGTCCATGGATATTTTTCGTATTATAATGAAATCTTCCCAGTGATTTCGTTAAATTTAGAAATTATCTTTCTTCGGTGTGTAATAGTTAATATACCTGGAAATGTGTACCGCGTAGATTCGATTGCAACCGAAGTTAATTTGATCCGTGGGTTTAAACGGAGTTTGGTATTTTTTCATTGCCCTGGAATTTCGACGTGTCGTGGGCAGCGAGATTAATATTTTCATTGACGTTTCGCTCGCGAGCCGTTGTTTAATTTTTAATGCAACACCGTGGACCTTTGACGATTATTGATTTACAACGAGTTTGTAATTATTTCCTTTATTATACAGCGCGCAAAACGGTGGCAATTACAACAGCTGTAATTGAAGTCACGCATCAAATTGTTGTTAACAGAACGTTACTGAATCTTACGCAAAAATAATTAATTGTCATTAATTGTGGGGGTGTTCAAGTTACAAAGTGGTCGAGCGTAAAAATATTCGCAATGTGCTGAACGACGCCACGGAAACGGATGAAATCAATTACGGCCGTAACAAAAAAGTGACATTTATCCCATATTTTTCGCAAAAGGACCAGGATATCTTTGCCCTTTAATCGTCGAACATTGAAGAAAAATTTCCTGCTTTCACGTTTCTTCCACAATTCGACATAAAAATAGTGTTTCGAGCACACGTACTGCATTTCAGCTATATTTTTTCTATTTCTTTATGAAACGTATTGGAAAGTTTCGCCTGAAAATAACTATCGAAAATAGAGTTTTTTATCTAGCTGGTGGGTAATCAAGAGCGAGAGGGGAATATCCAGGTACGAAAATACACGTGTCAGTAAATTTTCCGTGACGTTGGTCGTGAATTTGGTCGGTTGCACCACGGAAATGGAGAGACAAGCTGAAAAAAGGGAATGCTTTGTTTTGGGTGGTTCTGCGTAGCCTTCCGCGAATTCGCGAATACAGTAACGATTGACGGACCTTGTTGCGTCGCTACAAAGGGACATAAACAGGTAGGATACGAAATAGTAATTTCGTGAAAAGTGCTTCTGACTCGTTCAATCGATCGAGCTAAGGAAATTTCGTTTATATGCCGGAAACCTGTCAATTTCGAGACAATTAAAGTAATTCGACGAAGGGAACATTTAAATAAGCTACGTCTCGAAAATTCTTTGTCGAGGATATCAAATTTTGGATATTTAAAGACTCATAAAAGATAACAGAAAGATCTCTCGGTTACTTAATATCACTCTTCGTGGAATTTACGATGTTACTGGGCATCGATGATCAACCCTCGACGCGACACGTCGATGCCATTAAATAAGTTATAGCAGGGGACCGCATAACTCATACTTTCGACAAACTATTACATGGTCATTTTCCTTGTAAATTACGCCACCTTCCCATTATCCGTCCTTATTATAGTATCCAGGAACATGAACGCCGTAATCGGGGAAGAAATTGATTTTGCGGGGTCACACGAGCGAACGATCATTCACCCCACTATCGCGGCAAATAAACACTTTCTTTGGCTCTTCTACCACCAGCCTTTTTATTAATCCCTCCATCCTGTACAATGTCACACGATTTAATAATTTAAACACCTGCAGCGGATATTCTTATTCATATTACAGGGTTGCAAGTACCTATGCTCAAACGAACCCAAAAACTTATTTTACACCGAATTTGAATTTTCAGACATCCAACTCTGATTTATGGTGTATAAGTATACACAACGATGCCCATAAATCAGAGTTCAAAGGTAAAAAATTCATATTCAGTGTATAATATCGCCAAGCAATGGTACTCACTAACCCTTTAACGACCAGACACTTAAATCGTTATTTCCAAATTATGAGAATGATATATATGTTATATCTTATTATTTTGAAGTCGAAAATATCGATATTAAACCAACCTATTTGTTAAATTTAAAAAAAATGAATTTTTAACCTCACAACATCCAAACATCTCTTTCGGGGAAGAAAATTATTTCTCACCATTAGTTAACTCTAAAATGGTCCCAATACGTGCACCCCATCTGTATTTTCACAACGAAACCCCTGAAAATACGATTTTCTAAATCTCACTTATACATAAAACAGGACGTTAAAGGGTTAACATCACAACCATAGAAGTACTTTTCAAACCAGTAATAAAACAACCTCCATTGAATATCATCCGACATCTATAAACGCGGTTAATTCAAATCGGAAAGAGGAATGGAAGACCCATTCTCCTGTGTTCCTCATCCATAACCAAATCCAACAATCGAATTCAGCTGGGCACCAAATGATTCCTCTTTTCGCCGGTGGATCCCGACACCCCGTGGGGTATATATATTCAGGCTCTCATTAACTGCATAATTAACCTTCTCTCGCGTCGCAGCGTAGCGCATTAGATCGAATTGTGGGGGGTAATCGGGTGGCTCAATGGCGGCGTTCCAGTATACACACGTACGGACAGCTGCGCGCAAGCGGGCACGTATCCTGGGTGTGTTTGTGTGTGTGTGTGTGTGTGTGTGTGTGTGTGCGCGCGATCGGCCCGGTGCTAACCAACAGCCTAATAACCTCGCCTTGCCTCGTGATTGACGCGCCTGTACCGGCTAATTATCAACAACAATCAATAATGGCCCCCGAGAGTGCCAACACCATCGTCCTCCTTCGCCTCCGGGGCCCACCTTTACCTCCTCCGACAGTGTATCCATGCTACCAGACACGGTTTCCGCACCGTTCTTCCTTCCCCTCCGGGCCTCGACCGTGAACGATCCAACATAGAGAGTGAGGAACTTCTGTTTCGGGACGCGACGATCATCTTGGATTCAAAGGTAGAGGCAGTTTCATAAAAGACATTCGAACGAGGTATACAGGGTGAACCACGAATCGTGATCAGTAGATATCATTAGATGTGTTCGGAACGAAATGTTTAAAAACAGTTGGCAAGAGCTCAATATCGGAACGCGTACAATGGCGTAGCATACGATACTTTTTGTAATATTACAGTTCGAATATTTCTTGAATCTTTTCTCGACAGAGATGAAAAAAAAAGTAACACATGTTATGTTATGATACTTACCGAATTCGTTAATATTGGCTGACGAATGCATTTTAGTATGTTCTGAATACACTAGAATTTGACTAGTAATGATGTTTAGAATACAAACTGTTAAGAGGTGGAAAACGTGTGAACAGATCCGAGGAATGTGTTTCTAAAGCTAACGGTGTTGTTGATGAGTAGCAACAATTCCGTGGCCGTTTCGATCCCAGACTTCCTCTCCAATTCACATCGCGCGCGATGATAGACGCGCGTCAGAAATTGAATTACCACGAGAAACCTTTCCCCGGAAACGGCGGGGTTCGTGTCAGAAACTCGATCTCGCGTAATTGATCAAAAAGTTGCGAGGCTCGAACGAACGATCAACGATTCGTAACTGGAACTCGTTTCCCATCCAGCAATCCATCTTTCCAGTACCTTAAAAAATGTTTACTCATTAAGAAGACCTAAACTCTATATACTTGATCAATCGAAGTTAAGTTCTCTCTATCGAATCGAGAAAGAAATAATCAATTCATTCACTATAGCTACTATACCATAAAGTCAATCCGAAGATCGTTACTCTAAACAGATCGAATTAAAACAGAAACAAGTCATGAAACAAATTAATCAAATTTCAGTGATAAGAAATTAAAAAGCTTCTTTCTAGACTCAAATTTATTGTCGTTGTGATGCCAAAAAATTGTTACAAATGGCGACACGAGAAATAGTCTGGTATCCCTCCATTTCAGTCGCGATAACAGAGAGAGACTCGGATTCGTCCCGATTGAAATTAACGCGAATATATATTATATTCATACGGGGCTGCGGTGGTTTACGTAGGTGTGTATAGAATGTCTGTATAAATGGGCGGTGTAAGCGGGACTCTGTGTGTGGGTGCATCTGTGTGGGTACGTCTGCGCAATAATTGGTTTCGGTCGGACAGAGTAACCATCGTGATTAAATTCTACGAGGCAGGTGCAGAGTGGTGTTGCGCCGTCGCTGTTGCGTTATATCGAGAGCACCCAATGTATCGTTCCAAGTGGTTCGAGTTTTCGTGGATTAATGGCGACACCGTGTCGCCAAAGTTTTCCTAGCCTAATTGGCGAATCGGTGTTAATATCGTGAAGCTTATGCAGCACGTCTACTCGAGGGTGGTGCTGCCGTGACTAAAATCCTTTAATCTGTACAGACTTGAAAGAAGCTCTCTTGGTGGCTGTCGTATCTATTCTGAAGAATATTTAGTGGGAACAATCTACAAGTAGAAACAAACGTACGATCGAACATTTGAGAGTTACTCTAGTGTGGAAACATGGGCGTTAGAGTTTGTGCCAGAGTGTGGTATATAGTATTAGATACTTCGCTAATCGTGATTGATTTAATT